GGGGGGGGGGGAGGGGGGGGGGGGGGGGGGGGGGGGGGGGGGGGGGGGGGGGGAAATGGATCATGGTGGAGTCGAGGACGGGTAAAGCAAGGAAGAGAAGAAGAAGAAAGAAAAAAGCATGGTATATATATATATTCTTGGATTGTATCGTGTCGGTGTGAGAATGATTCATCTCCCCATGTCTAGGTCAAGGACAAACAATACAAAATACAAACGATTGACAAAAAAAAACCTGGCCTCGATATAGGGCCCCCCTTCACCAACCGCTGAATGCCCCGCGATAAGGTATCCATCCCAATGTTGACGGCACGGTTGACAGGGTACGGAGTATCATTAGATGCTACCCCTACAGTAGATATATTGTTATATTTCTATATTCTTACATGTACATGCATGTCTCTCGTATATATGCAGCCCGAATATCTTCCCTGGACAAGGCATATGTGATCATGGTCAGGATGACGCCTAGCCGCACTGCTTTTATCCCTTTTCTTTTTTTCCCCCGCCCTCTTCTTGTCCACCATTAGTACTGGGTAATGACCGATACTCGACGGTATCTTCATGTACGGAGTGACATAGTAATGGTATGGTATGAGAGTAGTATTGCGACTAGGTAGGTAATGGCCATAATATCACCCTCCTCCAACCTCTGACCGATTGGTAAGATGCCTCTTTTTTTTTTTTTTTTTTTTTTTTTTTTTTTTTGCATTTATACTTGTATCTGCATTTCCAATCATAAAAGACTGGTGACACCTGGCGCTTGTACGGTATGGTATTATATGGTAGAAGAAAGAGACAGAAAGCAAACAGACAGATGACTCGTATGAGTAAGCTCGTATATGGTAAAGAGAAAGAAAGAAGACAGGGAGACCGACAGATGACTCGTGTGAGTAAACCCGTACGTGGTAAGAAGACAAGACCAACACCTGGTATACTATACATCATACACCGGGCCAAACAAGAAAAAAAAAGAAGGAAGGAAAGAGAAAGAGAAGAGACCCCCTGGCAGAGAGAGGCAGCCTCAGCCAGCCATGACATCCTTGGAAGCCTCAATCTCCCTCTGAAGCAGCTTCCCGGCCTCCCTAGCCGCCGGCAGCGTCGATCCCATCTTCTCCAGCAGTATAGCCGCATGGCTCGACACCGACACCCTCACGTGCGAAGGAGGCGGCGTCTCCCGGGCCACCTTGCCGGTGGGCGGCTTGCCGTACCGCGGCGACCTGTGCTCGTGCGGTCCCGCCGCCCTCTGCCGGAGCGGCGTCTCGTCTCCCACCGGCAGGTGCACCGGCTCCATCAGGGATCCCACGTCCTCCAGCCCGAGGCTGAACAGACCCGAAGCGCAGACGAGGTAGGGCACCAGGGCCGACGTGCGCCTCAGCGTGAAGATGTCATCGTATGATTGGACCAGGGAGAGGACCGACTGTGCCGCGTTGGTGGTTATCTCGTACGGCTCCACATCCGTCTTCCTTCCTAGCGATAGGTTGATGAATGGTTTGAGAGCGCATAGGAGGCAGAAATGGTAGTACATGCTGTTTTTTTCCGGGTTCGTTCCGGAGAGGTCAGAGACAGGGCCAGAGAAAAACCAAAAAAAAACCGGCGGGGGGGAGGGGAAGGGGGGAACCGGAAAGGGAGAATGTAAGAATGTAAGAATGTAAGAATGTAAGAATGTAAGGAAGAAAGAAAGAAAGAAAGAAAGGGAGAGAAAAAAAAAACACTCACTGGACAAAGAGAACAAAGGGCGTGTGACTCCCGTCGGCCTTCAGCAGCGCCAGTATCCCCTCGTACCAGCTCAGACACTTGACATACACATCCTTGACACGGTCGGCCGTAATCGCCATGCCGTCCGGGTTCCCCTCCTGCTGGCTCTGCTGCCCGCTCTCGACAGACATGACGAACCGGTGCACCAGGTCCGTCAGCTCGTACAGCCGCGCGGCAATGAGATGTACGTCGTACGGCTGGCCGGTCGTCGCCGTATCGGTGTCGAACCCTCCCTCGAGGAGCCGAGACGGGAAGGAAGAGTCGGCAACGCCGCCGCACAGCGAGAGCTGATCGGGGAAGAGGAGGTCCTCCTGTGCTGTGATGTCCGGACTCTTGTATGGTCGGCCTGTAGTGAGGGATAGCATTCTGTTTTTTTTTGTCTCTTGGTCAGCCGCCTTCTTCTTCTTCTTCTTCTTCTTCTTCTTCTTCTTCTTCCTCTCCCTCTCCTCTCCTCTCCCTCTCCTCTCCTCTCCCTTTCCTGACCTTTCTAGGAGTTGGAGGGAGAGGGAGAGAGAGAGAGAGAGAGAGAGAGAGAGAGAGAGAGAGAGAGAGAGAGAGACACGTACCGGACCAGAGAGATGGCACCGCAGTACGTGATAGCCCTCACCCTCCTAAACACGTAGTCACCCCCGTCCCCCTCTTGACGGCACAGATCCAGTATCCTGGCCGCACACTCATCAGCCAGCCGCTGCGCGTGGTCTTCTCCCCCGAGCCGCAGGTAGTAGAACGACATCATGCCGAAAGCCTGTATGTTCGGTATCGAGTTCGGCGGCCTCTCGTCGCGGATGATGCTCTCGGCCTCGTCGGCGAACAGCCTGCTGCCGATCCACCCGGAGGGCAGCGACATCGTATTGTCCCCGCCCTCGTTGATGAGCTGGGTGGCCAGCGCGAGCGTGGCGTGCACCAGCGCCGACGAGCAGAACTGCTCCGACCCGCTGTGGTAGTCGGCCAGGAAGGCGTCGCGGTTCACCAGGCAGAACGGCAGCACGTCCCACGTCAGCAGAACGTCCAGGAGGTGTTGGACGTGCGTGCGACTCCAGCCCGTACGCGTCCACCGGTCCACGTCCGACGGATGCTCGCCCGCCCGCCGGGGCAGCGACAGCACCGTCGGCTGCCATGACGTCACCGCTATGCGCGGTCGTCCCTTCAGTGAGAAGCGGGAGCTCGTCCGCCACGGGAGCAGGTGCTGGAAGCTGCTCGTGTCGACGGCGACGGTGCCGGTGGGGCCGGGAAGCGTCTTGTCCGTCACCTGCCTGGGGCTTGACCATTCCAACCTGTCTGACCCTTGTGTTTGCTGAGCTGGATCTGTCGATCGATCATCTTCTTCTATTATCCGGTCAGCTTGTTTTTTGGTTTTTTTTTTTCTTCCCTCATCTTCTCTCCAGGCCCCCCTCCCACCTTCTCTCTCTCTCTCTCTCTCTCTCTCTCTCTCTCTCTCTGTATATATATATCCCTTCTATTTCTGCCACCCTCCTCTCCTTATCCCTCTCTTCTGTGACGTACCCATCTTGGTATCAGCCAGCTTGGCCGCCACCTCTTCGGCAGCGGCATCGTCGCTCATCCCCGTGATGGGACTCCAGATGCCCTCATCGAGGAGCACGTCCCAGGCCCCCTCGGGCGACTGTATGGCGCTGGCTACGTGGGCCAGCACCTCGCGCGCGACCTCGGGATCGCACGCTGCCAGCATGCCCACCATCCTGCGGAGGTGGTCGTTCTCCTTCTCCGCCTCGTCGAGCCTCCTCCGTATGGCGATGGAGACCGTCTCCCCCTCGTTCGCGTCGTAACCGCATTCTTCGCCGGCGTTTGTGCACTGTCTGCACGACGGCCGCGATCCGCTGCACTTTTTGGGGAGGGGGTAGGGGCCGGGGAAGGTGGCACTCTCGTCAATTACAAACAAGGAAAACAACACAGTCTTTTACCGTACGGTACAGCTTTCACTTCTCCCCCTTCTTGGTGATGAAGGGAAAGCTGGCGAGATGGGGAGAGCATACCTTGATCCTCCTGCGTCGACAGTTTCCGCAGGCTACCCGCACCGAAGACCGTTTGGGCAACAGCTTCACCTTGTGCGATATCGGTCCCTTGTCTCCTCCTCCTCCTCCACTACCTTCCCTCGATTCTCCTGATGTTGATGCTGTTGATGCAGGGATCGATCCAGCCGATACTCCTTCCCCACTCTCAACTCCAAACATCCCCGCTGATGAGATCGTAGCAGCAGCAGCACCAGCAGCAGCTTCTCGGGCTGACCGCGCAGCCACCGTTCGATCACTTCTCGGCATCGAAAGTGGGGGAGATTGGCCGGGACATGTGAGACGAAAGAGGAGGGAAGAGCTTTCAGGTGGTGTGCGTATGTGCGTGTGTGCGTGTGTGCGTGTGTGGCGTGGAGGGGGAAGAGTGAATGTCTTTGAGAGAGGGGGAGGGAGATATTTCAGAGGACAGACAAGGGAAGAAGGAAAATTTCAGAGAGAAAGGTGTGTTGCGTAAAGGTGGGAAGCTGTATTATTGCGCTCGGGTGGGGAAGAGATATGAAAGGCAAGAAATGGGAAGCAGTAATCTGTACATCTACGGAGTATTATTACCTTGGATGACTTCAACTGGTGTGGGGCTTACCTATGTAATAATGCATGCAATATGGGGTGATGTGATATATATATACATGTATCTACATATAATCTGTACAGATTATATAGCCTGTCAATCCGTTGCTCTCAACCGTTGCCATTCTTGGTCCTTGGACCCTTGGATTCCTCCCCTCCCAAATATCATCAATCTTCGTTTGAACGGGCCCATTTTAGTTTCCCCACCCCGACTAGAATCGCCCAGACTGCATCTCAAAACCCGGACGTAGAAACAAAAATAAAAGCCATCAGTTTTTTATCTATTATTTAATTATTATTCATTTTTTTTTTTCAATCTTTTAGGAACCGTACGTAGTATCATCGATTACAGATATACATCTTACATCGTCTTATATCTGGCCTCGTATTCTCCCTCGTCGTACCTGACGTCAGCATAGCCGACATAATACTTCTTAGTAATCACTGCGGGTATATGACGATCTCACAATGAGAACTCTCTTTCACAATAAGGGTCCGCTCTCTTACCGGATCTGACCTGCTCCCTTCCTCTCACACCTTCTGACGGAGAATAATGTATCTCCTCACCACAACGAGGGAAGGAGAAGGACGTGAGGGTTCTCGGAGAACCTTGAAGAAGAAGGAGGGAGAGGCCCGTACGAGGTTACACAAAGAGCCTTGCAGCCCAGAAATGATGCCATCACCGCAATATAGTCTAGCCTGACAGCCTGTTTCTGTTTACTATGTCTGCATGTCTGCACGTCTACATGTCTGCATGTCTACATGTCTGCGTGTCTACATGTCTACATGTCTACATGTCTACATGTCT